GCTCATACATGTTGTGACAAGTTAGTATCAGTTCATTTGGGGGCAAAAATTTTTAAATCCATGCAAAGTTTTTTTTCAAAATATGCATATTTCTATGAACATGTTGAAGATCCCTTGCAGCATCAAAAAGCATAAAATATGCAAAGAACCTGGAAGAGTCAAAATCGCTTTGAAAAAGAACAAATTTGGAAAATTTACACTTCCCAATTTTAAGACTTTCTAAAGTTATAGTAATCAAGACAGTGTGATATTTGCGTAAGGATAGACATATGGTTCAATGGAAGGAATACAGAGTCCAGAAATAGACATAGAGTTTTCACGAAAGTTCCAAAGTAATTCAATGGGGAAAGGATTGTCTTTTCCACAAATGGTGTTGAAACAACCATACATCCATTTAGAGAAAAAAATGAACATTGACTCTTTTCTCTCACCATATGCAATAATTAATTTCAAATAGATTATAGACCCAAATGTAAAAGCTAAAGTTATAAACGTTAAGAAAAAAGGTATTAACAAATCTTCACTGTTTTAGAGTAAGTAAAATTTCTTAAATATGTCACAAAATGATACAAACTTCATCAAACTAAAAACATCGACTTTTCAAAACATTTCTCCAAAACCTAGTGGCTGAAAACAATAATAATGATTTATTATTTATCATAGTTTTTGCAGATCCAAAATATATTAATTTCTTGGCTGGCTACTTCTGATATAGATTGTCACATGAGATTGCAGTCATCTGAAGACTTGAGAAGGACTGGAGGGTCCAATCCAAGGTGCCACATATGGCAGCAAATTGCTGCTGTCCATTTATCAAGAGACCTCAGTTCCTGTCTGCAAGAGCCTTGCTAAAGGATTGGCTTTCTCTAGAGCAAGTAACCCAAGGGGGGCAATATCTTTAATGATATAGCCTCAGAAGCCCCATACTATCATTTCTACAATTTTCTCTTAGTCACATAGGTCAGTCAATAGGGGAAAGTACTGTACAAGAGTGTGTATATACTAGGAGGCCAGAATCAATGGGGTCCATCTTGGAGGATGACTGCCACAGCAAGCCATAATCTGGGAGGAAATAGTCACAACATCAATATCTGACAAAGGAGAGTATAAAAGAATATACACAGATTATCCACACCCCAGTAATAAGAAAAAAAAAATCAGTTTGAAGTAGACAAAAGGTTTGGACAGATACTTATGTTCAAATGCACACATGGTCCATAAGGACAGGAAAAGATACTCAACATGACTGGTTATTAGGAAAATGCAAATTTAAACACAAAAATTAAAAATAAGAAGGGATTACCAAGCATTGGAGAAGAAATGGAGCAGCTGGAACTCCCATATATTGCTGATAGAAATGGAAATGGTACAACTACTTCAGAAAACAGTTTGGCAATTTATCATAAAATCAGGTACATGACCATATGCCCTAGCTATTTTACTCTTAGGCATTATTTGTCCAGGAAAAATGAAAACATATGTCCACACAAGGACTTTTAACCAAACGTTCATAGAATCTTTAGTCATAATAGCCAAAAACTGGAAACAAACCAATTACCTATGAATAGGACAAACATAAACAAATTGTAGCAAATCCATACAAGGGATTACTACTGCACTAGAAAAGAAGACATAGTTACTGCACACAATATGATGAATGAATCTCTAAAATATGCTGAGCTGAAACCACAAACAGGAGAGTATATATTGGATGATACCATTTACATCAAATTCTTGAAAAAGTGGGTCCAGGCACAGTGGTTCTCACCTGTAATCCCAGTGCTTTGGCAAGCTGAGGCAGGATCGCCTGAGGCCAGGAGTTCGAGACGAACCTGGGCAACACGGCAAAACCCCATCTCAGCAGAAAATTAAAGAATTAGCTGTGCCCTGTGCCACACGCCTGTAGTCCCAGTTACTCAAGAGGCTGAAGGGGGAGGATCCCTTGAGCCCAGGAGATTTAAGCTGCAGTGAGCTGTGTTCTTGCCACGGCACCCCACTATGGGTGAAAGGGTGAGACCCTGTCTCAAAAATAAAAAACAAAATTATGTAAAAAGTAGAATTATTCTATAGTGACAGAATGCAAACAAGTAGTTGCCTAGGACCAGAAGTAGTTCGGCGGAGGAAGGGCTTGAGAATACTTTTTACCGTGCTGGAAATGTTCTCTATCATGATTGTGGTCATAGTTACCCTGGTGTATTCATTTAAATGAGGTTTAGTGTATATAAATAATACCTCATTCAGTTCAATGAAAAAAGAGTATCGGCCAATTTGCTGACGGCCACAGCCAGGACCAGCCTCGCGGGTTCCCCTTTGCGGCGCGAATTCGCTGCCTCCAGAAGACGCTCTCCTCCCTCTCCTCCCCTGCCCCTCCAGGAAGCCACGCGCCCCCAGCCCCGAGCCGGCTGACCTGGGGACTGGCGTGGCGGCAGTGGCTGAAGAGAGCGGAGATTCGGCGGCCAGCCCCTCCAAGAAGGCCCCGGCGGGGCAGGACAGGCCCGGCCGAGCAGGACGAGCCCGGGACGCCGCCCTCCTAGCCGCTGAGCGCGTAGCAGAGAAACAAGGCCGCGGCCCTCCTCAGACACGTGGCCCGCAACGTGCTCGTGAGCTCTGGGGAGAGCTGGAAGAAGCAGTTCAGCGGGGAGTTCGGAAAACCGTATTTTATCAAGCTAATGGGATTTGTTGCAGAAGAAAGAAGGAAAACACTGTTTATCCACCCCAACACCAAGTCTTCACCTGGACCCAGATGAGTGACATAAGAGGTGTGAAGGTTGTCGTCCTGGGACGGGATCCATATGAGTGACATAAGAGGTGTGAAGGTTGTCGTCCTGGGACGGGACCCATATGATGGATCTAATCAAGCTCACGGGCTCTGCTTTAGTGTTCAAAGGCCTTTTCCATCTCCACCCAGTTTCCAGAACATTTATAAAGAGCTGTCTACAGAGATAGAGGGTTTTGTTCATCCTGGCCATGGAGATTTATCTGGGTGGGCCAAGCAAGGTGTCCTGCTACTCAACAGTGTCCTCACGGTTCAGGCGCATCAAGCCAACTCTCATAAGGAGAGAGGCTGGGAGCAATTCACCCATTCAGCGTGTTCTGGCAAAATCAGAACTCGAATGGCCTTGTTTTGTTGCTCTGGGGCGCCTATGCTCAGAAGAAGGGCCGTGCCATTGATAGGAAGCGGCACCATGTCCTACAGACGGCTCATCCCTCCCGTTGTCAGTGTATAGAGGGTTCTTTGGATGTAGACACTTTTCTAAGACCAAGGAGCTGCTGCAGAAGTCAGGCAAGAAGCCCATTCACTGGAAGGAGTTGTGATCATCAGCTGAGGGGTGGCCTGTCTCCACTGTTGTTGTTTTTATTCTTTTGAGAAGCTGCTGTTAACGTATTTGTCAGTTACAAAGTTACATTGAAAATTTTCCTATTAATTCTTAAGTACTCTGCATAAGGAGGAAAAGCTTCCAAAAAGCAGCCACGAACCAGGCTGCCCAGGAATGGTAACTATCCAGCCACAAACAGCAAAGGCTACCCTTTCACCAAATGTCTTCCTCTGCAACAGGGCTTCGGCCTAAAATACACCAACTTCTCCGAAGACAGATGATGTCAAATACTCAGTTGGCTGTCTTTATCTCCCTTGCCTTTATGGCGGAAGCGGGGAGATGTGCACCTTTTAGGCAGAGCCCTAGTTTGGTGCCTGCTGCCCCATAGTTTTGCCTGGTTTCAGTGACAGGTGTTGGGGTGTTTTTGCTTAGAAAGATCCCCTTGTCTCAGCCCTGCAGGGCAGGCATGCTAGTCTCTGCCTGTTCCATTGCCCCCTTGATTTTTGAAAGAACCCTCAGGCCCCTTGAAGCATAAGGATATTTTGTAAGTTTCCAGAATCTGGCCCAGAAATTAGGGCTCAATTTCCTGATTGTAGTAGAGGTGACGATTGCTAAGATTGCTGTGAGCCCTAACAGACAGGGGCCGAGGGAAGTAAGCTGGGTCTTGTTATTCGTTGGGTGTTGGTGGAATAAGCAGTGGAAATTGAACAAGGAAGAGGAGAAAAGGGAATTTTGTCTTTATGGGGTGGGGGTGATTTTCTCCTAGGGTTATCTACAGTTGGGGTTTTTAAGGCCCCGCAGACTGTCAAGTGCTGTTTTCTTACCGACTGAAATCACTTTGGGATATTTTTTTCCGCAACACTGGAAAGTTTTAGTTTTTTAAGTACTCATGCATACACACACACACACACACACACACACACACACATTTTTTTTCCTTTATTGGGTCTACACTTCCATCCTTGATCTTAGCGATGCTATTTTTGCTGTTAGTCGGGTTAGAGTTGGCCCTACTGGGGGTTTGGTAATTAAAGATTGTTAAAGAAAAAAAAGACTATCACAAAGATAAAAGTGAAAAGGCATGGTGGCTCATCCCTGTAATCCCAGTGTTTTGGGAGCCCAAGGCAAGAAGACCAGCAGTTCAAGACTAGCCTGGGCAAAATAGTGAGACCCTGTGTCTATAAAAAAGATTAAAAAGAGTATCACCAGAGGCCGGGTGCGGTGGCTCACACCTGTAATCTCAGCACTCTGGGAGGCCAAGGTGGGTGGATCACCTAAGGTCAGGAGTTCAAGAGCAGCTAGTCAACTTGGTGAAACTGTCTCTAATATATATATATGTGTGTGTGTGTGTGTGTGTGTGTGTATATGTGTGTATATGTATATATATATGTATACATATGTGTATATATGTATACATATACATGTACATATATGTATACATGTGTATATATGTATATATGTATATACATATGTATGTGTGTGTGTGTGTGTGTGTGTATATATATATATATATATATATGAGTTTCACCAGAAATAATTTCCTTCATAAGATATAACTGCTTTAAGTTATATCTTAAGGGGTGGGAACCCCTTAAGACTGATATGCCTGATTACTTTATGTTGTACTTATAGGAAGGTAAATAGGAGAGAGGACCATAAAAAAGGGAGAGGGCTGGCACCAAGATGGCCGCCCCTGTGGATCTTGAGTTGAAGAAGGCCTTCACAGAGCTTCACGCCAAAGTTATTGACACTTAACAGAAGGCGAAGCTGGCAGACATACAGATTGAACAGCTAAACAGAACGAAAAAGCATGCACATCTTACAGATACAGAGATCATGACTTTGGTAGATGAGACTAACATGTATGACGGTATAGGAAGAATGTTTATTCTTCAGTCCAAGGAAGCAATTCACAATCAACTGTTAGAGAAGCAAAAAATAGCAGAAGAAAAAATTAAAGAACTAGAACAGAAAAAGTCCTACCTGGAGCGGAGCGTTAAGGAAGCTGAGGACAACATCAGGGAGATGCTGATGGCAGGAAGGGCCCAGTAGGAAGCCTCTCAGGGAAGCTCTTCCTCTTGCCCCTCCCATTCCTGGTGGGGGCAGAGGAGTCTCTGCAGGGAAACAGCTCCTCCTCTGCCCCATGGACACTTCATCTGGATGGCCTGGCAACGTCACATTTTCTGCATCACCCTGAGTCCCTTTTGCTTCCTAGCCCTGGAGCTTTTACCCTGGCTTTACCTCTCACCTTGGCCCAAGACACTCGTACCTCTCAGAGTGTGTGATGAACTCCCAGGAGAGGGAAGATGGGAGCCAGGGCAGATAGGAAGCTCTGCCTGAGCTTTCCACTAGGCATGCCAGCCAGACCAATAAAAAGTGTCCACTCTGCTAAAAAAAAAAAAAAAAAAGAGAGGGCTGCCCCATGTTGTTGTTTCACTGCTTCAAAGGAGTTCTTAAGGAAGCACACATTGTCCTAAGGGGCACTGCTCTCTATGCTATCTGAGTTTTGGGCTTTGACCAGCAGGGAAGCATGAGAATGAGAATACTAAGGAGGGCTAAGCAACAAGCACTTGGGTGACAGGAACATTTGCAAACCAAGCCTCAGTGACATACAATTTACACATGTAACAAATCTGCACATGTATCCCCCAACCTAAAATAAAAGTAGAAAAAAGAAAAAAAAGAAACAAGTGAAGTAACATTCAAATGAGTAGTGGAAATAAAGCAAACCCTACCTCTTTCACTTGTACAGGGAAATAAGAAACTTTTAAGGTGCAAGGGAAAATATGTTGGGACAGATTTTCTCACCTTCAGCATTAATGCCACTTGGACCTGACCATTCTTTGTTTTTGAGTGGGGTGATGGGGCTGTCTTGTGCACTGTAGGATGTTCAGCACCATTTGTGGCATCTACCCACTAGATGCCAATGGAACATCCAACCTAACCCCATGAAAAAATGTGGTAAGCCATTGCCAAAGTCTCCCGGGATATGAAATGGTTCCCAAGTTAAGAACAGGATTGGTGTATTTGTTATCTATTTCTGGATAGCAAATTATCTCCCAAATTTAGTGGCTTAAAAGAACAAACACTTATTTTACAGCTATAGTTGCTACGCGTTAAGCATTTGAGAGTAATTTAGTTGGGTGGTTCTGCTTCAAGGTCTCCGATGAGGCTGTAGTCAAATGCAGTCATCTGAAGGCTTGACTTAGGCTGAAGGATCCACTTCTAAGATGTCTCACTCACATGGTGATGGCAGCAGGCCTCAGACTCTGGTGGTTGTTGGCAGGATGTCTCAGTTCCTTGCCATGTGGGCTTCTACACAGGGAAGCTTGATGTGTCTTTGCCATATGGCAGCTTAGAATGATCTGAGAGAAAGTGGGAGAGGCTCCATGATGCCTTTTTATGACCTAGTCCTGGAATTGACACACTATCACTTTTACTTTATTATGTCTATTAGAAACAAGTCACTAATTACAGTCCATATTCATTTGGAAGAGAATTAGGCCCCACTGTTTTTTCTTTTTTTTGAGAGAGAGTGTGTCTCGCTCTGTCACCTAGGCTGGAGTGAAGTGGCGCAATCTTGGCTCACTGCAACCTCTGCTTCCTGTTTTGTTTTGTTTTTATTTTTTTGAGACAGGGACTTGCTCTTGCTCTATCACCATGAGTGCAGTGATGCAATCATGACTCACTGCAGCCTTGACTTCCTGGGTTCGAGTGACTCTTCCACCTCAGCCTCCAGAGTAGCTGGGATTACAGGTGCACACTACCATTCCCAGCTCATTTTTTTGATTTTTAGTAGAGATGAGATCTCACTACATTGTCCAGGCTGGCCTCAAACTCCTGGGCTCAAGTGATCCTCTCACCTTGGTCTCCAAAAATCCTGGGATTACAGGCATGAACCACTGTGCCTGGCTAGGCTTCACTTTTTGAGGGCAGACGTACCAACACATTTGTAGACATATTTTAAGAAATTAAAAAAAAAAATTCTTAAAAGTATAACAGAGACAGCGTGCTTTAGTTTGTTCTTGTGCTGCTAATAGAGACATACCTGAAACTGGGTAATTTTTATAAAGGAAAGAGGTTTAACTTACTCACAGTTCAGTATGGCTGCGGCGGCCTCAGGAAACTTACAATCATGGCAAAAGGGGAGGCAAACACATCCTTCTTCACACAGTGGCAGCAAGGAGAAGTGCTGAGCAAAAGTGGGAAAAGCCCCTTATCAAACCATCAGATCTTGTGAGAACTCACTCACTATCACCAGAAGAGCATGAAGGTAACTGCCTCCATGATTAAATTGAACCTGGGAAGTGGAGGTTGCAGTGAGCCAAGATTACACCACTGTGCTCCAGCCTGCACGACAGAGTAAGACTCCATTTTAAAAAAAAATGAGATTTGCACGGGGACACAGCCAAACTGCACAGGATTTTCTCATGTTGGCCAGGCTGGTATCAAACTCCTGGCCTTAAGTGATCCACCTTTCTTGGCCTCCCAAAATGTTGTGATTACAGGCATAAGCCACTGTGCCCAGCCTGTAGATATATTTTAAAGCCACTACAGTTAGAGAACAATGTTTAAACAAATGGTTTGGGGGAATACCTTGAGCTAATTTTAAAAGAATAAAAGTCAGATCATCATTGCAAAATAAATTCAAGAAAATTAAATTATTTAATGAAAAAAGTGAAATAGTCAAGTAGAAAAAAGTAAAGACAGATGAATTATATGATCTCAGCATGGGAAAGATGTATGAAGTAAAAAATAATGGAAGAATACAAAAATGGAAAGATCAATAGTTTTCCAACAGATTAATATCTACATTATGTGAAGCACCCTTTTGTGAAATACCTCAGTAAGAAAAATGGACAAATGACAAACAATAAGCTACCATACATACACATATGAAAACATATCATGATGATCTGGGCACATGGAAGAAGGACAATCACATACTATCATGTAGTGCTGTGGGAAAATTGATAACGATTATGACAGTAATTTCTTGATTATGTGTCATGCTTATGTGTTAAGTAGCTCTATGCATGTCACTTATAGCAATTTATATATACATTTTATTACAACATGTGGAAGCACTATGCTAATTTTCTAGTTGAGGTACAATTAGATTAAACAATTGACCAAATCTCACAGCTCATAGGTGGCAGGAGGGTCAGGTTATCCATTAGACACACTAGACACAGTGCCTCTGGCTTATAATACTTTTAGGAGCCCACAAAAATGCTTTGATTTCTTTTAAAATCAGAAGGCAAAAAAATTAAATGTTTAGGTCAAAGAAAATGTTTGAATGTATAATGTTAATATATTTGTCCTCATACCAATGCAAAAATAAAATATATTTTGTAGCATTGTTTTATGGAAGATGAGGCCCACACAGGTATAAGCAGCTAGGGCCTGTGAAAGTCTTAAAGGGACACTGGGTGGCAGAGCTGTGTTTTGATCCCTGGCAATATGATACCTGAGTCTATGCTCTTTAAGGAAGGTAGTTGCCAATATGCTTCAAAAGAGCTAAACTTGTTCATACTTTATTACTTTTAAGGATTTATCTACGACAGTAAATAAGGACATGGACAATGGTTCATGGAATGCTATTTATAATATTGTTTATTTGAAACCAAAGAGAGTCAATAACAAAAGGCTAGTTCAATATTGGGTGTCGACTTGGGAACAAGGTGAGTACTGAGAGCTTCTGAGCTGGGGAGGAAACTGAGCAATGAGTGGAGCTGAAAGTGAGACACGGAGCAGGAAGCAGGAGGCCTGCATACATTCTGGAGGAGAGCAGATTCCTACTGGGGATATCTAAGGAATTTTTGAGGACGTGTTTGTAAGCACATTATTGCATTTATTTAAAGGGACTGGACAGCAAAAGCAAAAAGATGAAGAAAATATTAGTACATGTTTAAAGCTGAGATGAGTGAGCACATATGGGGAACTGTGAAGAGTTTTTCATAACAGAAGAGATAGAGCAAGTGAGCATCAAAGCAATCTTGAATATCATATTAATCTTTGTCAGGAGAGCTCCAAAAAGCCAATGAATGATTTTAAGCAGTGGAGTGACACAGATGGGTATTTCAGAATGATCTTTGTGGTTACAATGTGCACCAAATTCAAGTGCAAAGCCAGAGGGCAAGAACTAATGCATAGTAGGCAGAAATGTGGATTGTTCTGTCAAGAGATTAATCGAATCCTATACACACTCACGGAGTGTTGGCACTGTTTTTGGCACACAGTTCTTTCATTAAGCTCAGTTAAAATGGAAGGACTGAGAGAACTAGAGGTTTAAAAATCAAGGGAAAATTTAGGACCTAGTTTTAAAACGCGATTATACTGAGTAGTTGTAGGCAGTGGAGAGGGCGAAGTTAAAGATGTGCCAAGGAGGCCAGGTGCGGTGGCTCACGCCTGTAATCCCAGCACTTTTGGAGGTCGAGGCGGCTGGATCACGAGGTCAAGAGATCGAGATCATTCTGGTCAACATGGTGAAACCCCGTCTCTACTAAAAATACAAAAATTAGATAGGTGTGGTAGTGCACGCCTGTAGTCCCACCTACTCGGGAGGCTGAGGCAGAAGACTCGATTGAACCCGAGAGGCAGAGGTTGCAGTGAGCGGAGATCGCTCCACTGCACTCCAGCCTGGTGACAGAGTGAAATTCTGTCTAAAAAAAAAAAGTGCCAAAGGACTGCTCTCAGTGGAGAGCAGGCAGTGGAGTGGGCAGGGACATCTAGCCTCCCAGACAGGAGGAAAACAAGTGTGGATGTAGGGATAATCTGTGGGAGAGTTGATGAGGTGGTTGGGCAAAAATTGTAGAAATCCATGCCTGAAGGCTTCTGCTTCTCTGAAGTAGAAAACCGGATCATCTTTTAAGTAATGAGGTTCCACTAACTTCTATTTGCACATTGGCCCTTCTTCTAAAAGCAATACACATAACCAATAGCACCTCCTAAACCAGTTGACTTTTCTGTATAATGGAGACAGTAGACACTACTTTATGGGATTGTTGTGTGGGTTAATTGTGCCAACACGTGTACTTGCTCAGTTGGTATTAGCTTTATCACTGGGCTGAGGTTAGTGAGGGCAGGGGGAATGAAGGTTTTGATTAATAAATAATGCACTGCAAGTCTTCGGGTATGACCATGGATAAATGCAATTATTTACTCTTGCAATGGGTTCTAAGTCAAACCCTCAGCTAGGTCAAGGAGTATTTATGAACAGCCTACTTTTGCCCCAGGACCTTAAGAAGTCCTGCTCCGGAATCGGCCGCCTACCGGAAAGTCGAGTTCTCAACGCCCAGCGGGATCTTAGAACAGCGTCTTCCCAAATCTCAGCGGCGGCCCCGCCCCTTCCACAGGTTCAGGCCCTGCCCCT